CTCTGGATAAAAACTTCAGAAAATGAACAGAAACGGCACGCGCGTCTCGATTTCTCACGAGGTGATGAGTAGAGCGCCGCGCCGGGCGTCAGGGCGCGCACGGCGACCTCTCCCGGGCTGACTTGCCTCGTCAGCATGAGCGGCACGTCGGGGCAAAAGCTTGCATGCCGGGAGGTTTTTATTCAGGAAAGACGAACGGCATCTTGGAAGCGTCCAAGAGTTCAGAGGACAAGGTTACACTGAGGAAATGAAAACGTCAAAGAAGCCAGATGAGTCCGGCTTAATGGAGGAAGTCGACTCTAATAAGACTTGCTCATTACTGGTAGGACACGCTGACATCATCAAGTGCAGCGTGACATCAAAGTGGATCGTCGTCATCGGCGCGGCAGTCGAGCTGTCCGTTACGAGCTCACGGGAGGAGGCCGAAGCGCGGCGGCGGCGGCGGCGGCGGCTAATCCGCAGCTTGAATACAACGGTCGCCCGATCCCGACGAGGGCCGAGAGGAGATTGAGCGACACGTCGTAACCAAGGCGACAGCCCGTGAACCAGCGAACCATTTCGCTTTGCAAGCCGGAACGAACGTTGGCGGAGCGGCGAGCGAAGATTTTGCCATCTCTGTGTCGAGTGGCGCCACAGGCCCGAGCTGCTTAAAGCTCAGTCGGATTTTGTTTTCCGGCAATTTCGCGGACCCGCACGCCGAGCGACTTTATTTGTCTTTTTTTTTTTTTTTTTTACAAGCCACTCTCGGTGATCCGGCCGCCGCGTCGTCACGAGCGTCACTCTGCCTCGTAAACTTAACGAGCGCACCGTGTTCCTCCACGCTCACCTCTCACTTGTCGCCTTTGCAGTTGTCAGCTGATAGAAAAAGAAGATTTGGTTCTCCCTCCTAATAGAACAATCACCTTCTACGCAGCTACTCCACAAAAAAACCCAACAGAACAGTGCGCCACTGTGCCTTGTACGTTATTCGGAGCGTTTCGGAATCACTATTGAGCTCATAAGAAAGGTCAACAAAATACGTCCGACGGGTGGTGCAGATTTTTCTCGTCTTAGTGCGCGCAGATCGTTTTGCTCGTCAAAGATGCTTTCGCAAAGTTGGTTCCGACAAAGCGACATGCGCGAGGGCTGACGGATTTGAAATCCACTTCGGTTAAAGAAACCGTTATTGCCAAGGCCTGTTTTTTTGTTGATGTGGTTTTAGTCTCCGTGAGTTGTCCCGTTTTGGTGTCCACCTCACTCTCATCAGCTCGGACCCTTTGTGTCTTCCGATCAACTTCCTCGGTCACTTGCGTCTTGGTGTCCGGATGTCCCTCATTGTCTTATCGGTTTGTTTGCAGTTTTTCAGTTTTTGTTGTGCCCCGCCTCTCTTGGTGTCCCTGGCATGTTCCTGTTCCATACCTGTCAACTTTTTGGAGCGCCAACCTGTATAAACTACCAAAAAAAATCCTTATAAAGAGCAAAAAATCCTTGTAACATACCAAAGCATTTTATATGTCAAAATAACAGCAGAAAAAAACCCACGAAATATGAATGATATATTTGTTTCCTTGTAGAACTTGCTTGTACACGACCGAAGTATGCAATGAATACTCTGCTGTTTTCAACTAGGAACCACGTGATTTACTGGAAAGTTACCGGAAATGAAAGCATTCGAGTAGACTGGCACCATTCTGGGCAAAAGCAAACGGAACTCCCTGTTAGGGGAAAAAAAAAAAAAAAAAACGGAAATTTTCAGAATCCGTATGATTTGTGCGATATGGCCATATACGTAAGATTCACCACAAAATCCGTATGAACTATGGCTAAACCGTATGAGTTGACAGGTATGCTGTTCCTGTCTGTGAATGTATTCCCAGTTTTGGTTTGCTACTTCCTTCGTGTCTTGTTTGCGTGTGTGTTTTGTTTTTGTTTTTTTTAGAATTTGTTGATTCAGTATCCTCTCATGAAATGAAGAAACTAGAGCGTTGGGAATAAATGAATACCGTGCTTCTGGTCATGTCCGCACCATCGAGAGGAACGTTGCGTTTCCTGCCCTATGGTTCGTTCTCGCACTCGTGACACAATTTGCGGTCCGCGACATGAACGCGGTCACGTTTTAAGCGTTTTCAGCAAGAACACGACAGATTGCGTTCGCTCCACAGGTGTCGGCTCGGCGGATTGTCCCTTGTTTGCTCTCAAAATCTCAAGCAAATGCTGGACTCAGCTGGAATGCGGAGGGGTGGGGGGGGGGATATTTACTGAAGCGAATCGTCCACTCTCCAATGAACTCGTGTCATTTCAAGCCTTGCTTAATAAATACTGAGCTTATTGAAAACGGATTAAATTCTGACGGATGAGCACAATTCGGCCATCTCGGCGCCTTTTTTTTTTTTGTGTGTGTGTGTGTTTGTGTTTTTCCAGTCAGGGCCATTGTGTTCTAGCGGCGCAAAAAGCACTGCCGAAGCCTTCTGAGTTCACCAGTCGATGATGAAATGAGTTTGAGATTTTTTTTTTCGTCCCTCGCGCCCTTGAGGCGAACACTCTCATTGATCCCCTCTTGAGGAAATGGCAGCGCGCCAGCGTCGTAAAGCATGATATGCAGCAAGCGCCCCCCCGGGGGGGTCACACGTTATCTTAACGACGTACAACCTGCTGCTTTGTATGTGTCTCTGAAAAACTTTTCCAAAACGCCACACTTCAATTTTTGCCCCCAGCAAGCGGACAAAAATTGGCAATGGCGGCAAGCAGCTCGTTGTGATGTTATCGGCCATTTTTTTTTTTAATGGTTTCCTGACGTAACTCGTGCTCATCTCTCTTCTGAGCCGTGACACCATTCTGTTCCGCGTGCGTCACAGTCACACACACACAGACACACGCACACACACTTTCAGTTTCACTTGCCGTAGTGGTCAAAGGTCGCTTATCACACTCGCACGTCGCGACAAAATTCGCCGTGCCGTCGTCTGCGATGTGATTGCAGAATTCTGCATGGCACCACAACGAGGCGTGAAAGCCTTGGCTGTTTTTTGTTTTTTTTTGCAGCATCAACGTCTTCTCACTGTGAAATTTGACTTTGATCGTCCTCGTGAAGGCGGTGCACCGTGAGCGTGACATCACTGATAAAGCGGCATCGCTTGATTACAGAAGTCCATTAGCCACAGGACTGAGGAACCGCC